TGTCACATAAAGAGCCTTGATTGCGCTCATTTTTTGAAAATGCCTTAGACGAAGCGATGTTTAATGGCCTGTTTTGTTTACACATAGCCGTGTGGAAAGAGAGCATACTACTCTTTCAAATCATGAGTGTCCGAAAAGCTTTCTCTTGATATCCTCGAAAACTAACGACGAAACCTTCCCAAATGTCCCTCTCCGATTTCATTGATTTTCTGCGTATAAATACTATATAGTATCCTAGTAAAAACCCTAAATGGAAGTGAGTTACATTATTTAAGTTACTCATTTATAACCTTTATTGTTCTGTTCTCCTTTTTTCAAGCACAATTTCTGTTCTTCTAACGTTCGCGCATCTTTTTGAATATCAAAGTAAGAAGTTGTATCGGGTTGTCCTAATTTACTTTTATGTTGAGTACAAAATATGCAAGGAAAATTTGATTGAACGCCCGCTAACCCAAAGACATAAACGGCATTCATGAAATCACCTCCAAGTTTTAGCTTGATAGGAATGTCTTTCTTGTTCAAACGGACATATGTAACGCTACTCAGGCTATCCAGGAACGACTTAGGAAGGATCTTTCGATATAATTCACATGACTCTTTTGGAAACTCAAAGAGACTGACAGGAACTAAATTTTTTGGTGACTGACAATCACGACCACCTTCAACACAATTAACAGATATAGCTACAATATGTTTGTTACCAATAAGGGTTCCATCCATATTCAGCCGAAAGGTTATCTGTGGTAGTTGATGAAGATTTCGATTTTTACGCTGTGCTATGAATAAAGCAGTTTTTATAGCATATTCAAACTGGACATAAGAACCGTCTACGACACTAACAATGGGAAACTTTTGATTAACTTCCTTCCTATTTTTACGAACGAAATGGATTGAAAAAAACTTCTGATGTTTTTTAATAAATTTGTCAATGGCATCGAGTCCTTTATCAGTGATGTTATGCTCATCTTTCAAATGCAATAGTTCTCGTTTAATTTTTTTCTTTTCTTCATCCCATTTTTCGTTGGTACGAACGAGATCTCGAAAACATTCTTCGTTATATACAACATCTTTGTTTTTTCTCGTCCGAGGAGAACGATAAGGTCCGACAATTTCATCTATGTCTTCGTTATGACGAGAGTCCGGTATAGCAGAGTCACTAATAATTATCGGAATAGAAAAAATAAAAAGCTTGTGCTTATTAAGAAGAGTCAGATTAGAATTTGCCAGTGAAAAAGCTTTTAAAATGTCTGACTTTAATAAATTGATAACTAAGTCAACATCATAGACTATCTTTTGAGATCTCAAATATTCAAATATAATGCCTACCATTTCACATACATCCATAATATTCGAAGCTAATAAAAAACTGGAACAAGTCTTCTCAATGAATGATAAACTAAATGTTGCCTCAACAGAATAAATATTAAGAGACTGCAAAGCGGCAATGTCAGGTGAATTAAGATAGAGTGAACGAACAAAAAGAGCCTTCTTCAAGTCAATATATTTCTCAAATGAACTAGTATTACTAAAGCTGGAGGATGTTGTCACATTACCAAAACTTTGTGAAACAGCAGTAAGGGGTTGTACACAACTAAGAAGAAATTTGAACTCATTTTGTTCTCGAAGAATATTAAGTGTTGCGGCACTATTACCACCAACGATTTTCTTTTTCATCTGGACTATGTTAAGTAATTTTAAGCGTAACTCTTTCTTCAAAGAAATTAAAGTGATCCGGTATTACAAATGTGATTGAGGTTCAAAGGAGCACCACTTCTCCGACGAACAAGACGTTCTAGATAGCAACTAAGGTACTAATAATTTGTCTTTACGAGTAAATCACCACTTTGTGTTCACCAATACTTGGACGTCTGCAGGAGTGAATGAATCTGTAATACTATCAGTGTCTGAAAAGCTTAAATCAGTCACATCTTTCTGTTTAATATATATGGTTAAACTATTTTGTGCCTTTTTCATAGCTGCTAAAGATATGGCACTTCTACATTTGTTTATCAAAATGCTCTCAACTACTGTTTTTCCATCAGCAATTAGCTTTGTTTTTGCTCTGTTTATAATTTCATCTAATTGTTGTTTTATCTTATTACCAGGATCCGGTAGGTCGGAAATATCAAGATTTATCTTATAGTTATTGTTAGACATCCTTAAAAGTAGAAGTTACTCACATTTTATTGTTCTTCGGATTACAAGTACGTAAGTTAAAATAGTTGATTAAATGAATATTTATATCATTCGAATGTGATTTAGAACTTATCGAAGGGAGAAAATATAAATTGTAAGCAGAATGACTGTTACATCTGTATTTATATTCATAGCTGCAGACGATACGAATGTTCATTGTGTTTTTCCTATGAGATTAAAGGATTACAGATAACTTCTTCCCACTTCTGTTTCGCATACAATAGAGTTGATAAAAGTAATCAATCTCAGCATAACGATAATTACTTTACACTACTACTGATCTGATTCGTTTTATATGTCGTTACTTTTTGCTTAAGATGAGCTTATTATCTCTTTCAAGGTATCAAAAATGAAGGAATTTTTTCCTTTCCTTATTTTGTTCTTTGAAAAATAAGAGAAACTATGATTTTTCTGTATGTTTATTTATGTACTTTTATTGTATGTTGATCATGAAAAGTACAGACTAATTCTCCACAGGTTCGAATCAAAAAATTACTTGTCATTTCACTTATTAAATAAAATAAAATTTCAACAAATATTATCCCTGGCTATCATGACCCGAAGAGAAAACCGGAAAGTCATGGTGGTCAAAAGTAGTTTCTTTAACTGCTGAACAAAAAAGAAACTATGATTTTTCTTATGCTCAGCTGTGATATTAATAGACATATAACTAAAGAATACAATGTACCTTTTTCTACGAAATAGCTCGACATAGAGCACAACTTGTGTACTTCAAACTGCCCGGAAAACTGGAGAGGGGTATTTTCAAATTTGTTAACTTTTTAATATGAGAAGTTGCCTGAACATACATTCATTCTTTGAAGCAAAATAACGTAATACACACATATATACAACGACGAGGAATATAAAGGGAGGAAGAAAAGTGAGAAAAGGAAGAAAAATAAGATCAAAGAAAAGAAAAAAAGACGCAGTATGTTTGATGTGTACAGTTGAATATAGTGTAATATACCGTGAAAACCTAAGTGGAGTCTAAAGACTCCAAAAATCGGAAATACCCCGACGAGATCTTTGCGCCGTACAACGTAACTCGTCACGCTGATTCCGAATATGTAAAAATCTCGAGGTACGCTTCTCTAGAAAAAAACCATCAAATTTTGATATGCTTCCGGCATATTGTCCATATGCGATCATGTTCTACATCTATTTGATTGTATCGCCCGCATATCGGCGAAACGTGGAAAGTTTATTCTTGAGAACTCGTCAAGTTTCACCAATGAAAAACGTGAACCGATTATAAAATCAATGGCACAAATAGAACGAAGGCATATGACTTCTATTCTTTAAAATGATTCATTGAAAGACTATTGTATAGTAGGTGCAACAGGTGATAACTATTTTGCATTTGTCTTTTGAGATTTCTACACACGTCAAGTATTGTGATGTGACCTATCGAAACTTTGTAAACATGATGAAATCGAACATATGCGCTGAAAAAGCTTTACTTATGATATCAAACAATTGTTACTTGAGTAATGTAGTTCTTTTTCTGATGTTCTGACTCCAACCCTGCTAGAGCTGCCCGTGACAGGATAAAAAAGATAGAATGCACTTTCGAGGCAATCTCACCATATGTAACACTTCGTTTCCAATGATTTATGTGCCGATCGATTGAGGATACTCAGCTAGCAAAAGTCCTAAGAGTCACGGTATTTCTTTCAAAGTTTTGAACTTTTTTTGTTTGTCTGTAAGGGAACCTGCTAATACTAAGAATTCTGTAACTTAGTCAAAACAGCTCAATTAAGAGTCAACATTTTTTCACATCATCGTGCTAGATATCTGTTATTATCACAGAAACTTTTAGCCTTCTAACTCTACAATTTGCTA